GAGCCGCCCGCGGCCACCGCCTGCGCACCGGAGGCAGGTGAGGCCCGAGCGCGGGGACCGGGGCGGGGGGAGCGGGGGCACGGCCGGAGTCGCTTCTCCGGGGCCGGAGTCGCTGAGGGACCAGCGGCGGGACCGGCCGCCGCCGGGTCGGGCTGCGGGGACCGGGTACGGGCGAGCCCGCGGTGTGGCGGGGCTCCCTCCGCACGGCCGGGCTCGGAGCCCTCGTCCCGGGGCTCGGTGCCGAGCGGGCGGCAGGTCAGAATTTGCCCGTTTGTGTGGAGTTTCTTTCCCCCGAAACACCGAGCATCCCGGTGCCGGTAACCGCAAGGTAAGGAGGAATTAAGGGAGAGCGGGGGAACCTCCCGCTATCTTCTCGGGGTGCTCGACCACTGCCTGCTCCGGTTTGGGGGTTACCGGGACCCTCCCTCCCTCACGGCTTGAGTGTGGTCGGGACACTCCCGCCGTCCTGTTTGGGGTTTGGGAGTGTCGGAGCCATCCCGCTCGGGGGTGGCTGATACCGGCTGTGCTGCGGCTGGGGCCGCAGATAAGCGGGACCTGCACCGGCCCCGCTGGGCGCCGTGACACCGGCGCTGCCCCGCCACACGGGGGACACGCGGGACACTCACAAACGGGGGGTTCAGCCCCCCAGGACACTCCCCCAGGAGGGGCTGCCCTGTCCCACTGCCCCCGCGGGGTGCGGTGAGACCCCCATCGCTCCCCAGGCCGCCCGGGTGGTCCCGGCAGGAGAGCCCGAGCACGGCTGGCTCGGATCAGGGCCGGGAAGAGGCTGTGCTCGGGGTTCCCTTCGCACTGTCGGGGATCAGCAGAGGGATGGAAATTATTGCACAGAGTGGGGATGTCACAGGTCAGTGAACTGGGACACTTTACATCCTGCCCCGCTATTCTGGGTCGGGAGCTGCCCCACCCCAGGGCACTGCTGTGGAGCTGAGGAATGGGACAGCCAGCACTGGCAGCCAAGAGACTGCTGTGAATATTTGGGAGAGAAACACCCGGGAAGAACTGCTGAAACCAAGGGATGGCATTGGCAGAATCCCGGAACACCACAGCACGGAGGAGGTTCTGCCACTGGGACAGTGGGGCCAGAAGGGCTGATTTTGGGTCAGAAGGGTCTTTTCCTGCTTGTATTTCCCATGCTTTGCTGAAGGCAGGGCCGAGGAGGCAGCTGGGATGAGGGGCAGGGGAACACCTTTGGGTTCATCAGTGCCATCCCTCAGCAGACACGTTTGTTCCTCCTCAGCAGGAGTCGGCAGAGCCCTGAGCACCGGCTACTGCCGGCTGTGCCACGGCAAGTTCTCGTCGCGGAGCCTGCGCAATGCCTTCGGGAAGGTGCCCGTGCTGGGGGAGAACTCGGAGAAGCAGCGGCGAGTGGACCAGGTGTTCTTCGCCGACTTCCAGCGGCTGGTGGGTGTGGCGGTGCGGCAGGACCCCGCGCTGCCACAGTTTGTCTGCAAGAAATGCCATGCCCAGTTCTACAAGTGCCGCAGCGTCCTCCGGACCTTCATCCAGAGGGTGAATGCCTCGCCCACGGGCCACGCCAAGTCCAAAGGAAAGTACGTGGCCTTTCTTGCCTCCCGGGAGCAGCGCCGTGCCGTGCTGCCGCGTGGTCCCTCCGTGACCCCCAAATCCCACTGTGCCGCTCTGGTTTTTGCAGGAGCAGCGGGGTCCAGGCGCAGCCGGGTATGGAAGGAGGTGCCTCTTGCCTGGGTGAGTGCCCACTCCCCTTTTACCTTCTGCCACAGCACGAGTGGAGGGCTGGGGTTGATGGGTGGTGAGAAGTGACCGCATCCAGAGGGGTTCTGGCGTCCTTTGACACGGCTGGTTATGGTTCTCCTTCCTCTGGCTTTCCAGGAGAATCTTCACCTTCCTGAGCTGGGCCCATCAGGCAGAGGCTCACCTGGGGGTGGGAAGAGCAGGCAGAGCAGATTTGGGTGGCAGTGCCAGGCCTGTCCCAGCTGCTGTTGGACACTGGGAACAATTGGAAATACCCTTTCAGCTGTGAGTGATGGAGGGAGGTGGTGCAGCTACTGTCCCTGGAGGTGCTTAAGGAAAGACTGGGCGTGACAGTGCTCTGCTCTGGCTGACAGGATGGTGCTTGGCCATGGGCTGGACTCAGTGATCTCAGAGGTCGTTTCCAGCCTCAGTGGTTCTGTGATCCTGGCAGGCGCTCCAGCCCTTTGGGCTGGCTCCCACCCGCCTTCTGGGACACCCCTGGGGGGAACAGATCCACCTCCCTGTCCCCTCGTGTCCCCTCCGTGCCCAGGCCTGACTGCGCTGCCTCTCCCCTGGCCAGTTGACCTGATCACGTCCAGCCCGCAGTGCCTGCACAGCCTGGTGACGTGGACGCACGCGCACGCCGGGAGCTGCGCCTCGGTGCCGGGGCTGCGGAGCGTGCTCTCCTCCGAGTACTGCGGCATCATCCGCGCCGTCTGGGGCTGCGGGGACGGCCACGACTACGTCATGGACACGGACTCGGACTGCAGCTCCGTGCTGCTCGACAACGCCTTGTCCGTCAAACGCGAGTGGAGCAAGGGCACGGCGCAGCAGCGCTTGACTGACAACGGGGCCGGGGCAGACGATGCCGAGGCCGTTCCCGCTCCCAAAGCCCAGCATGCTCCAGTAAGGACAGCTCCTTGCCAGCAGCCCGCCAACAAAGGGACCACGGCGGTGCCACTGAATGTGGAGAATGAGCCGCCCCAGGACAGGGATGGGTCTCCCTCGCAGCTGGACAGCGCGGCCTCCGTACGGGAACGGGCCCTGCCGCAGCCCGTCTCCCCGCTGAGCACTGCCACAGGTAAGGGATTTGCTTCCTGATCTCCCTCCCATCCCTCATGGGATGGACAGGGAGCTGGAGAAGTGGCTCAGGGAGCAACAAGGGGCTGGGCCCTCTCCTTGGAGACTGCTGTTCCTCACTGAGGGCACAGATCCTTCTGGGAAGTGCTCAGAGATTGACCCCTGATCAGGGAGGAGGATGCTGAGCCATGAGAAGGGACAGGGGAACACAGGGTCATACTCCTGTGTGCTGTTCCCCCTCTGACAGAGGGGAGACCCTGCTGCCAGGCTCTTCCTGGGGATATGGAATAGCCACTGGTTCCTCAGCACCACATTTGCCAGATGTTTCTTTTGGTTCAACCCTGAAGTTGGGTTTCCCTGCTGTGCAGCAGCTGATGCTGAATCCTTCTGTCCCTGAAGGAAAACTGCTGAGTGGGTTTGGTCTGGGTGCACTGCCTCAAACACTACTTCCAGAAGAAAGGGATTAACACGCATTTTGAGTTCCAGAAGTGGGGCTGTATTTAGCTCCAGCACCCACAGGAGATGCCTGCTGCTGGACACAGGAGTGGCGGCTGGGACTTGCCTGGGGACAAATCTTTCAGTTACAGGTGTCACAGGAGGAACCAAAAGCTGCTCCTGGGAGCTGCAGGGTCAGGGTGGAGCGCAGGGAGAGCTTATTTCTGGGCAGAGGGGCCAGTTTGGTTTAAGCAATCTCTGATTGCCATGGAGCAGTCGGCTCCTCCTCGGCCGCCGTGGGTCTGCTGCTTTTCCTGTAACTGTAACGCACCGTGTTCTCCTTCATTCCCTAGGACAGTTGAGTGGGAAGCAGGTTCTGTCTGCAACGTCGGATGAGCGGGTAAAAGACGAGTTCAGTGACCTTTCTGAGGGGTGAGAGAAGAGTGGGTTTAAAATAGCCTAAATGTCTTCTTTGCCAGTGGGAACTCCCCAGCCCGGAGAGCTCTTTTCTCCACCAGCGCCGGGGGCTCGGAGCGGTGGCTCTGCCGCAGCCGTCACGTAGCTCATGGCACTGAGGCTCTGAGCTCCCCCTGTGCTCTGGGGGGTTTGCACACACGTGTGCTCCGTGTTTGTGGGCTGCTTCCAGCAATCCTGGCCCTGTTTTGTCCCCTCTCTGCACTGGGGAAGAAGCCATGCCAGGAGTTGATGCTGCAGCCCCTCAGCCTCCGGGCAGTTCCCTCCACGGCCGGGGCTGCGGGAGAGCAGCGGGAGTGGGAATGCAGGCCCGGGGTGGCACGTGGAGAAACCACCCTGTTTGCTCCCAGGAAGAGCCATTAACTGGGAAACAGGAGCAGGAGGGACCTGGCAGCTCCACGGTCTGCTGTGAGCAAGGATTTGGCTCAATCCAATGCAGGTGTTTGGAATGGGGCTGTAAATACACGAATCCAGGCGTTCAGAGTCTAAAGGGCCAAGTGCAGTGACTCCAGTGTCAGCTGAGCCTGTCAGCTGTCACATTAAAAGGGCCACAACAATTTGTTGCCTGTTTCCTATTTTCAGGAATTAATTGCTTCTTGTACGGCTTAAGGCCTAAAAGGAGGAAAAAGTCCAAATGTGGTTGTTAAATTTGAGGGAATACAGAATGACCCACAGCTTCATTAACCTGCACCAGACTATTATGTGACATTCTCGCTCCACAAAATTCCTTTTTCCCAGTGGAGGAAGCGGCAGCCACATCCCTCAGCCATGAATAGATCCTTTCAGTAACAGCCGTTTTTTTGTTCTCCTGACAGTGGTTTGATTATTCTTGCAGAGATTTAGCCCTAAAAGGACCTGGTTTGGGTCTTTGCTGTGTTCACCGGCGCTGTGTTGGCTTGGGGAGAGGA